GCCGCTTTGATGTCCCGCCAAGGAGCGTGCCTCCCACCTCTGGGGCGGAGAATGCGTGTGAACAGGGCCTGGCTGCGCACACAAGGCGGGACCAGCCGTCCAGCGCGCGCAGACCCCAGCCCGGGCTGGGCGGACGGGCCAAGCGCCTCTCCCTCCACCCGCTCCGGAGCCGGGCTCACGGGACCCTTTGCACCACTCGGACAGCGTGGGTGCAAACACAAAGTGCCCTTTGCACGGCCGGGGCGTGACGGGCTGCGTGTCAGTGAGAATCAGGCCTACGACAGGGGCTGGCACAGGCGTTGATCTGCACCACTGCGCCGTTCCCAGCCCCACGCCCTCCGCCGCCCCCAGGCGCCATTCTTCTGGCGGGCTCCACCCCCCGAGATTTACCCCCCCACGCACGCACACTCGCAGGGCTCTTGGCGTGGCCACTCAGCTCTCCCGCCAGGCTGGGGCCTTGGCTCAAGCTTGTCTCCACCACCAGGAGGGCCGCGCCGCTGACTCTTATTTTAAATGAAACCTCAGTGTCTCCCGATGGTCACGGGACTCCAGGAGCCGGAACTTGGCAAGAGGTGGCCACCCCGTCAGAGCCCAGGGGAGGTGGGCGAGGCAGCCTGAGCCCGCGGACGGCACAGACCAGTTTGCAGGACCCTGACACTACCTGGCAGGCTGCTGGGTTTGCTGTGGAGTCTTCCCCCATATGGCAGCCCCTGCCTGGCGGGCGAGGGGAGAGGGGGAAGCCAGGACAGCCCCCCCAGCACCAGGCAGCCTGCTCTTGCTCTGGGAGCAGAGCCCAGCGGGTGGCTGTGGTTCTCGCCCAGGCTGTTTACGGTCAGACCAGCTGCAGCCACTCTCAGTGCCAGGGGGATCGACGCCTGTCCCAGACCAAGTCGGTTACCCCGAAGCGCCAGCCCGCAGGGTGGGAGCCCAGCAGAGCACCCAGACTGCACCCCTGCCGTGGGGGACCGGGCAGAGACGCTGCGGCACTTTCCACGGACGCCGCCAGACCGGGCCAGGAGTCAGCCTGTTTGCGGCATGAAGCAAGGATCTTTGGTTTTCTCTAGGGTGGCCAGCGCCCAGCACAGCAACCCCGCGTGCTGCACGAACCGCGGGGAGAGATCACAGCCAGCGGCCCCGTGCCGAGCCGGGATGCGGGCAGCTGGCGTACCTCCAGGGAAGCACAGAGCAGCCCCCCGGCAGGTGCCCCTCACAGAGCACGGCCTCTGCCTGTCCGC